GGTGTGCCCGAGCTCCCAGGCTCTGCGGCCGCCATCGCCAGTCTGAGGCCCAGCCTGGGGATTAGGGGCGGATTGCTCTGGGAGATTTCCCCCTCCCCGGGGCTCACGGCTGCTCCTTCCCGTCTGGGAGGGGAAGGGAGGGTCACCCAGCGGGTGGACCAAGCCTTCATGAGATGCCCCCCACCACTCTGCCCATCCTCAAGTCCAGCAGCTGCCACTAGTGAGTCCCATGTGCACAAGGACACCCAGGTGTGACAGGCCACAACTTCTGCCTGGGAGGTGGGGCAGAGGGGGCCCAGGGCAACACATGCACCTGCATCTTTCATCCACCCAGAAGGACGCCCCGCCCCTCCACTCCCCTCCTGCATGCCCGCAAATGCCTCTCAGCATCAGAAGCCTCTCTCACAAACAGTCCCATCCACTCCCTTCTTCAGCCTCAGAATGGAAGTGGGCCTCCCAGCCAGGCTTCCAGGAAGGAGAAAAGCTCTTCAAAGCCAAAAAGGCTGGAGCCTGGAGGAGGCTCCCTGGCAGATTCTCACACAGCCAGCTCAGCCTGGAGTCCTCTGCCTCTTTCCCTGCTGCCCTGCCCAGTGGCTAAGGCACCATCACTCCCAAGACTTCCTCCCTATTTCAAAACCGCCCGGAGGGACCAGAAAGCAGCCAGCCTCGCCAGGAGATTTCCTCTCCTCTGAGATCCTGGAAATCCACTCTCTGCTTTGGACACCACTGCAGCCACTTCCCCTCCAGCCCCTGCTTCCTGTTCCCCACCCTCCTCCCCTCAGCACTGCCTGGGCAAAAACACCCAAGATAAAATATGCATGGCAAACTCACAGCCATCTCTTCCTCCTTGGACTTCATCTTGACAGTCCTTGTGGGAAATCCTGTGAGTGGCCAGCAGAGGGGGCGAGAGGTCCGCAGTTGGGAAGCACAAGCTGTGAGGATGGCACCGGGGCGGCCAGCAGAGTGCAGGGGGCTGTCTGCTGGGCGTCTCTAAAGGCAGCTTCCCACAGCAGAATCACCGGTCAAGACGACGCCGATCTTCCACTGACTTGAGCCTGGCAAGGGACTCAGGGCTTAAATACTAAGGGTCGGCGTGGATCACGCTGACGGGGCGGTCCCAAGTTCAAGAAGGTGCAGGGAGATAAGGGCCCAGGGCTATCTCTAGGGCCCAGTGCCAGGGCCCTCTGCCAAAACTCCAAGAGGAGGAGTTCCCCCCACCCTAGGCACCGGGAAACCTTACAAACATTTGCGGTGGCCAATGACTTAGGGTTTGTGAGGATAGGAACACGTGGGGTCAGGGACACTTCCGGCAGAAACCCGTGTCTGTAAATGACCTCCCTCCAACGGTACTTGATTTTTACTTTGCGCTTTGACACTGTGCACTGTTCATGTGGTATAAACAAGTCAGGTCTCACTGCCCCTAGAAGGCAGGGATCAGATCTTAACTGTATCTGGGCCCTTCACTGTGCCGAATGTAAGACTGACCCCACTTCGTATTTAGGTCTGTACAGTGACTGCCTGATCCGTCTCACTGAGCTGTGACAGAAAGCAGTCCATCTCCTACAGTCCTGCCCTAGGGAGCCACAGAGGCAGCCTGGCCTCACACGCAAGACACCCCTGCAATGCCCCTCTCCTTTCTAGGCTCCACCAAGTGAAGATTTGTAACCTTTCCTAACAAGCAAAACAGAGGGAGGGGAAAATGCATTAGGCAGGGGCGGGAGGAGCCTGGGGCGAGGAGGGGGCTGAGAGGGCTGAGCCCTGGGACCCTCATGGCCCCTCACGGAGTCTCACTCCCACCTACCCGGGCTCATGAAGGCTCAGAAGCCCCAGAAAGAGGTTCCTTCAAGGCCTCATTGCACCACCAAGATGACTCTGGGGAGAGTCACCCCCAACACGGCCTATGACATCTCTCCAATGGGAGGGTCAGCTCTCCTCCAGGAACAACTCACCCACAATCGCTAAAGAGCAGGAAGAAGGCAAGCAGGGCTCAAGATGGACAAGTAGTCTGCTAAGAGAAAGGGGACAGACAGGAACAGGGGGTGTCCGCCAGGTAAGCCGGCAGGAGAGGGGTCCCTTCTCCTCTGGAGTCTGCCCTTGTCTTTACATGTCTGAAATGTTCTCCAATCTGCCAAGGACGCAGAGCTTCCTGCTCCGGTGTGGGGAGCAGCAGCCCGAGGCGTCATGATGCCCTGGGTTTGGGTCTCGGCTCCACACTTGGTCAAGTCAGCACAGGCTGGGAGACTCAGCATCCACAACCGCGCTGGGAGGAGTGCGTTAAGGTGGGGCCGGGAGAGCCCCGGCGGGGGGGCGGGGAGGGAACAGGTCGCAGGAAGACCGCTCACTCCTGGGCGCCGGCTCTGCCTTTCAGCGGCAGGGCTAGAGGGTCTGGGTCAGAAGGCCGGCTGTAAACCATCACCCCGCCGCTCGCTAGGGATGCGGCCTCCACAGGTCCTGCAGGTGCCCCTTCACAACTGCAAGGGGAGGCGGCAGCACCCACAAAGCTGCAGCCGGGAGGAAGAGGTCTGAGGGGTGAGACTGGTGCATCAGGAGACAGAGGAGAGGGCAGATGAGCTAAGCCCTGGAAATTCTGCAGCTGAGTCTCGGTTTTCTTAGTTGCAAAATCATACGTTATCTCCAGGGCTGTAGTGAGGCTCAGATGGGAACGTGAGTGAAAGCGGCTGACACATCGCAGGTTTTATTGAGATAGATGACTAGTCCTGAGGTTCCTTCACATGTGGATGCACGCACACACCCCACTGTCATTCTGGGAGGCGCCAGGAAGACTTTGTCTGGGATAGAAAGAGCCAAAAAGTAGCTACATATGGAGCCAAGTTGAGAGGGTGGCAGGCAGACATGGGAAGAGCTGCACTGAAGCAACAGGGCCTGGAAAGACACTGGCCACCAAGCGATTGTCCTGCAGAGAGAAGGTGCTGCTGGGTTACCACCACCAAGTGTACACCTTAGTAACCCTGGCCATGCAGCCACCTCCGGGCTGGCCTAGCCTGGCAGGGACAGGCCCCCTCTGAGCTGGAGCAGGGCAGTCACTGGCCTCACTCCTTCCACTCTCCCAAGTTGGCCTGAGTCTGGAGGCTCCGTGTCCTGGAAGGGGACACCGGAAAGAAACCCAGGTCCTGTCCACGAGGCTCTCTGCATGCCCAGCAGGTCTCAGCCCTCCCTTTCCCCGGGTTCCCCTAGGTTTAGTTTCTCCTCATTTCCAGGCAGTGCCCCCTTCTTTATTTAATGCTCTTAAACATGACATTTTTCTTGTCTCTTCCTTTGCCTTTGTTATTATTTTTCAGCTCACCCTCCCCCTTAAAAAATCTTCCTACTTATTTTTCTTTCTTTTGGGAAAAAAAAAAGCACAAACCACACACACATTCTGGAGGGGGGAAAATCTGAGAAGTCACAGGCTTTAGGAGCAAAGATGAATGCTGAAAAGCAGCTAAATTTAGTAGCTTCAAATACAAGGTGAGGCCTCAAAAAAATCTCAGGCTCCAAATGTGCTGTGAAAACCTCCCAGTTAGGATTCCTCCACGAACAGCTGGCAGTCACTCAAACGCTCACCTCTTGGAAACAGGAGTCTGAGAAGTGGTCAGTATTAGGAGGTCCCTCCCCTAACACTCACTTTTCGAGCCAGCCAGTAGGTGCGTCTTCTTAGAAACTCACGTTACCAAAGAGCCCTGCTTCCCTCTGGGGACATGCGGGAGGCAAGTTCATCTTCCACGGGGTGAACTAGAGCAACCAAGGTGGGCGCGTTTCCTAGGAGCACGTGGAGAGGCTCGGCCATGTGAGTTGGAAAAGCAGCCAGGAAAGGCCAGAGTGGAGAGAGGTGTGGGGCGTGCACACAGCATGCCACCTTTCAGCTGCTTCCAGGGAGGGAGGAGGCCATCTCTTCTGCCCACTGGTCCTTTGCCCGTCTAATGCCACAGAGACTCCTGATCACGGGGTCCTTCTCAGCCACAGTCAAGAGCCAGATGCTGGGCAGCGGAGAGGACCTCGCACCTGGGTCACTTTTAAGAAAATCAAAATTGGTGCCAGGTGGGTGAAAGAGAGGGACAATCCCATGCCTTCTATAGCCACTCTGTTCCCCTGTGGGAGGGATACTGCGGACAGCCCCAGGACACTGGGGACAGCCCCTCCTCCAGAGAGGAGGCAGTGTCTCCTTTTGGGGCTCTTTTTAGGAAGCAGAGCACCCTCCACCCCACCCTATTTGCCAAGAATAACTTAGAACAATTCCTTTCTAAAAGCAGAGGACTGAAACACAGAACTCTTGGGGCGTCCTGCTGACTCAAAGGCTCAGAGCTTACCAGGAGCTGATATGATTTAACGAGAAATGTACGTGAAAACAGTCTGCAAACTGCAGCACGCTGTTCAATGGCCTGGGGGGTGCCCACAATGCCCTGAACCCTGGAGGAGTCAGTAGACGGCATGGGGACCAGATAATATTTGGGTCTGAAGTCGCCTTCTCAGGCAGTGAAGAAACCTTATATAATGAAGTTAATATTACAGAGCACTTTTCTTTCCAGGGTAGGGTTCGCCTTTCCAGCTACCCGAAGGAGGCCTCCTGGTCACAGTATCACTTAGGATCTGACTTAGCCTCTGCTGAGCATGCTGAATTATTCAGTAGCTCTGGATACCGACCCAGCTCTGGGGTCCCAGTGGTGGGGTGTCTGAAGAGGTGGAAAAGTGTGCAGTGAGCACACTCCCCAAATCTAGACCTGGAGGAAGAGCAAAGAGACAAAAGAAGCAGGGGCATCGGAGTCAGGATGTGGGCACAGGGGCCAGCGCTGCTGGAGGGGTGGGGAGGCAAAGAACAATCAGACAGGCTGCTTGCAACAGGCCAGTGCCTGTCACTGGAAAGAAAAGGGAGGCCGGGGAGGGCTACGGTTCCCAGGAACTTCGCTCACTGCCTCCAGTCCCCACAGCAGCTCAGGAGAACCCTCGGTTCCCCTAGGATCCTGGAAGGAATGCAGCAGGCTGTGTGCACTCATCACTGCTCCTATTTCAGAGTCCTCTGCCCTGCGGCGCATAAACAGAGAAAGCCCAAACTGTGCCTGTGAAAAGAAAGAAGAGGCAGAGCGGGGATCAGGTAAATGATACTGTATTTCCATTGCCTCATCTGGCAGCAGAGGGGACCAGGGTCATGTTTCGCATCTCAGGGATGTGGCAGATCCAGAGAGGAATGTGGCAGATCCAGAGAGGAATGTGGCCAGTGGCTGGGGAGCGCCCATGGCCCGTGCCCACATCACCAGCGCTGGCTTGCCGTCGTCTGGAACCAGACGGCAGAGAGCTCCTCTGGCTGTTGACTATGATCAGCTCTGGCATTGGGGGGCTGATTTCCGAGCCTCGAACACACCTTCCACTGGGACCTGTCCGAGGCTGATGATCCCGAGGGAGAAAGGAGGGGGCCTGAATGACATCTCCCAGCCGGGTCTGGGCTGGCAGCATCTCACCCCCCCACCCCACCCCGGGGCTGCAGAGAGCCACAGGGTCTCCTGCCAGGTTCTGGCCTGAGCTTAGAGACAGGTGAGCTGAGAAGAAATGACATCAGGTCTTGCCAGGTACCTGGGATTCCTCTAACTTTGCTCCGTCTCTGGGGGAGTTTTGTGCTCCTGGGAGCCAGAGCTCATCTGGAGAGCACTGGGCACTTTCTGTCTAGAAAGCAAGCCATGGATGTCAGTGGAGAAAAGATGAATAAAGGCTAATTCCGGAGGCCAGCTGCCTGCTGGGGTGACCGAGTCCAAAATCCTGTTCTAAAGTCAAGAGGAAGCTGCTGCTTATGATCTCCAGTGTCAGAGCTTACGTAAGAGGCAGAGTCCTCATTTTGCAGCCCCTCTCCTGATTGGGCAGGACCCCTAAAAGGCAAGGGGGCTCCACTGAGCATGAGGAACTCAAATCAGACTAAAGAACTTAACTCACCAGGTACCAGGTACACTGCTGTGGTGGGGCCTTCAGGCCCCCTGGAAATAGGGGCTTTTAATCCCTGAGACCGGGAAGTAGCGACTCCCAGGGGAGCACAGGGCCACCCTGCCCTGGCAAGTGGCTGGCAGTGTGGGCACTGCCTCGGGAGGCCACTGGGCTGGCTGACTCTGACGGCCCCTCTGGGAGCCTTTCCATGCAGAGAGGAAAAGAGAGGGAAGAGGGGATGAGATGGGTGGGGGAGGGGCGCAGAGAAGGCAGCCGTCCTCCCCAGCAACTGGGTATGAGCTCAGGCTGGCACAGACTTGAGCGCGTAAATAATGACTGGACGGGCAGAGTGAAAGGCAGCTCTGGAGGTGGCCACGTTTGTGAGGACAGGCCAACCGGCCCAGTGGGACAGGGCCCCTCCGCCTCCCTTGGAATTTGGCCTGCAAGCTGAAGCACTCAGGAGCCTCACAGATGAACGGCCCGGCCTCCCCCAGCCGCCCAGGGGACGTGTTTGAAAACCTCTCTCAGCAGAGCTGGCCCCACCCACCACCAAGCCGGCAGGCTCCCAGCCATAAATAAACCAGGCCCCTTGACGCCTGCCAAGATCTGTCTTCTTGCCAAGAGCCTAGGGCTAAGGGCAGCCCCTCACTTGCCATCCCTCGGAGTAAACAGGGGTGCTTATTTATGCCAGGACAGAGAAGAAATCTTGTTGTTGGATAAATCTGGTGGAGGAGCGTACAGATGGACTGGCTGTCCGGAATTTGCCCTGGTTTAGGTCATGCGTGGAAACGCCCCTGGTCTCCCCATCTGGGGCCTGGAGATAACACCTCCGTGACGCCACGGGGAAGCGTCCATCATGACGTCATCTCCACCCTCTCCCCCTCGCCCAGCAGCACTGGTCCTCGCTTCCGCCCTGCCTGCCCTCAGGGCCAGGGGGCAGCAGGCTGGCCTGTCGGTTAAGTCCTCCTGCCACTGAGCACTCCTGGCTGGTCTCCTAAGGCTCCAGACACCCTCGGTGAGCCTCTGGCTCCTGCCCCCTCCCCCTCTTCCTCAGGGGGACCAGCCACAATGTGCAGACAGGAAGGGCGACTGGGGCAAGGGCTGGGGTGGGGGGCCCAGCATGGCATAGCTGGCTGCACTCTCCCCTCTCCAGAGACCCTCCAGCTGGAGCACACTGCACAAGCCTTCTGAGGGGCAAGATGAATGTGGCAACAGCTGGGGGTGTTTTGAACAAGGCCAAGAGAGAAGCAATGACCAAGCCAAACACGGGAGAAGCAGGAGAAAGGGAATACAAAGTTCTAACTCCTGCAGGGGTCCACCCCCTCCCTGTAAGCCTGGGAGCAGGTTATCAGAGCAGGATGGAAGAGTTGCTAGATTTCTTGAGGGTACACCGCATTTTGTAGGAACTGCTGCTCAGCAAAAGAGAGTCTGGTCAGTGTGGGGGCAGGTGGGGTGTGCTGCAGGGGCAGGGGGAAGGGGGTGAGGGGGCGAGGGGGCTTATCTGCTGAGGAACCAGGGAGCCCAGCCCCACTGCACATATAACCAGTGGTTCCTGCTGCAGCCTCCAGGACTCAGGTTTCCAGAGATTAAGGCCACACACAGATGGGGAACCCAGACATCACCTGCCAATGGCCCAGTGCACCAACAATGATGACCTTTCCCCCACTTTATAGATGTAAGACAGAGAACGAGGTTACCTTGCTCAGTGTCACACACATAGTAGAAAGTGGAATGGCGAGGCTGAGATGAAACTCTGTTTTTGTTTTTAAAAGGGCAATCACTTAAGGCACAACCTCGAAGACAGCTAAGTGGATCTGGAGAGGACAAATGACAGGCAAATGACATCACCAAGGCTGAGCTGCTTCCTGGGCCCGTGAGCCCCTCTCTGTCCCTCCGTTGCACCCCTGCTCTCTATGGGGCTCCAGTCTCCTACTCTCTTAGGGAGGGGCTGGGGTGAGCCTCTCAGGACAGCCCAGGAACTGTAGCTGCCCCCAGGGTGTTTTGGTAACTCAACCCGACAGGGCCCGCTCTGGTCCAACAGCCAGCTGCCGAGTTCTAAACAATGGCAAGGGGTGTGGGTAGTAGGGGAGGCTTATGAATTAAAAATAGATGCTAGTAATCACCAGGGAGCTCGCAGCGAGCATGTGGGGCTGTGTTTACTAGAGAGAGAAGAATCCCTTCTATTCATGCCCAGGGACCAGGGTGGGACCAGCACAGCTTCGCACACCAGCTCGTGGCCTCTGGGTTTGGGGGAGTCAGCTGACTGAGCAGGGTTTACCAATGGCTGGAAGACCCCTGTCCTCAGGACATGGAAGTACTCCCTCTTCTCAGGATCCCCTGGGGCCACGCCCATCCCTGGAGGAGCAGCTCCAGGTCAGAAAGGATATACAACGGAAGGGGAAACGGCAACCAAGAGATAAAGTCACCGTCCCTGGGCTGAGGCCACCATCTCACGATGGAAGTGGCACAAAATGGTCCTTGGAGGTTTTCGTGACCTCAGATCTCAGTTTGGTCCTGTGGGCATGCTAGAAACATGGGGTCTAGGCTCCTCCCCGCCAAGAACTAGCCGGGTGCCCCCAGGCAAGCAGCATCCTGATTCCTCGAGGCCTCAGGCTGCTCATCTGTAAAATGGTGAGAATAATGTCTGCTCCGGCAACTTCACAAGGACGTTTTTTAGGATGAAGCAGGTAATGGACAGGACAAAGCTTTGGAAAGATAAAATTTCTAAGTATGGATATGAAATAGTCCCCCATTCCCACCTGAATCCAGGGAACCTCCCCCAGAGTCAGCTTACCCGGGAGTTTCTAGGGCTGCTCTCCCACCAGCAGCAAGAACAGAACCCTGCCTGCCTTCCGGACATCTCGGAGGGAGTGTGAAGACCAAACAAGAGCCTCGTGGAGAAGCTCCCTAGACGATGAGCCCATCCCGGCCCCCCCAGCCCCCTGCATTCCCAGTCAGCAAACACCAACCACTCCTCAACAGTCTCCACCAGCGCTCACCGCACGCCCGCTCCATCTGCTCAGAGAGCCGGGGACCACAAAGTTCACGTTCTCCCTCCTTGTAAAACGGCTCTAGGACCAGAGACCCTGGCTTCGCAGGATCGTTCTAATTTGATTTTTTAAATGTATTCATTCACTCAGCAGCAAGAGATGGGCCTGGCGGCTGCCACAGCCAAACCACTGGCTCATTAGGGCTGAATAACCGATTCATCCTGCTGGGCCCCTCTGGGTCTCCCTTCCATCCACAAGGCCACGCCTCCCTTTTAGCCGACACATCCAGACCTCACTCTTGGCACAGACTTCTCTGCAGTTGAAACTATGCTTACAGATGGTCCAGTGCCATCATTTTAAATGCTCTCTGTATGCTAACAACACCCAAATGTCTGCCTCCAGTCTAGGTCTCTCCCCAAGACTCCAGACTCAGACATCTGACTGCTTATCTGGCATTTCCACGTGGATGTTTAATAGCCATCTCAAACATAACATGTCCAAAGACCAGCACTGATTTCTGCCACCACAGCCCCTGCAGATGTATGGTCCATTTGCTTTCTTTCTCAACTTAGTTTTAAGGCAATTTCTTCTCTCCAGCTGCCGGGCCAAATATCTGTGAGCCATCTCTGCCTGCTCCCTTTCTGTCATGCCCCACATCCATCAGGAATCTTCAGAGCTTGATCTCTGAAGCAATTCCAAATCCAGCCACTTCTCCAGCTCCCGCCCTGCAGCAAGCCACTGTCATCTCCCCACTGGAGGCTTCCAACAGCTTCCCAGCTGGACATCGTGCTCACACCTGGCTCGCAGCCCAGTCACCACACAGCGGCCAGAGTGGTCTTCTTAAAAGGTGCCACCCATCTGTACGAAATCTAATGAATTCTCATCTCACTGGAGAAAAAAGTCAAAAGCCCCTTTCCTGGCCTGCTAGTGATGGGCAGCCCTCCCTGCCCATCTTTCAAAAACCAACATAAACCAGACTGCCTCAGTCAATGTTGGCCTCCTTTCTCCTTCCCCAGGAGAGCTGCCCCTCCACGTCCACCATCTCCTCAATCTACTGAAACTGGTTTCTTGCCACGGTTACCAGTGGCCCCCACTGCCTGACACTGTCTGCATATGTTTCCAAATCCAGACGTGACCCATCATTCCTGCCACATTTCACACGGTTGCGTACTTCCGCCTTCCTCAAACTCCCTTCTCCTTGTGCTTTGCCGTCATCTCTCTCCAGGTCCAACCCTACAGATCTGCCTGCTTTCTCCTGCTGTCAGCTCCATCCTTGGCCTCCTTCTCACCTGACACATGCCCTTCGAGGTCTCATCCACACCCAGGATTCCAAGCTCAGTGCTGGCTCCCCGAGTGCCAGCCCCAGTGCCACCTCTCCCACGTGAACCCGACTGTAAGTTGGTGCTCTTTAGATGGACAGCTCCCAGAGGCACCTGCAACCCAACATGTCCAAAACCGAACTCACCACTTTCCTTCCCAAACCTTCTCCTTCCCCTGTGTTTCTTCAGCTAGAGAATGCCCCACTGCTGAAGTTGCTCAGCCAGAAACCCGAGAATCCTCCTCCATTCCTCTTCCATGTCCACTTCCTCACTTACTACTATTGATGCTAACTGCCAAATGTCTTCTGAATTTGTCTCTGCCTTTCCATCCTCACTGCTGCAGCCTAGACTCCAGCAACAGCTCCAACAATGGTTTCTTTGACTCTGCTCCTGTCCCTGTTTCTAATTTGCTGTCTATATTGAGACCCAAAGGGACCTGCTCCTGCCATTTTCCTGCCTAACACCCTTGGATAACTTCACACCACCCCAGACTCAATGTGGCAAGGACTTCTGTGATCTAACCTTTGACTGCCCGTCAGTGCCCAAAACCGCTGGACGCTCCAACCACAGTGAAGCCCTGCTAGTCCCCAGTGTCAGCTCACATTACACACTTCCTCCCCTAACTCCTCCCCCAGTTTTTCCCTGGCTAAATACTTCTTCTTTAAGATTCAGCTCAGTGGCTTCCTCCAACAAGGGCTTTGCCAACAAGCTCCCACAGCCTCTGTCACAGCCTCATCACCCTATTCTGTCCACTCACCCACCTGTCTGCTCTCTATTCGGTAAGCTCCGTGAGGATGGCACCTCCACTTGCTCATTCTTGTAGCATGTAACAAGTATGCAAGAAATACTTCTTATACGAATGCAAGAATGAATATAGAAATTCAGAAAGTGCCAAACTAGACAGTCTCCTTACCAAACAACCCTTCATGGATTCCTCCTCTGCCTCCTTTGGTTGGTCATAATAATAAAAATGATACTGGCCAGGCTCCATTCCAAGTGTTTTACATGTATGAATGCATTTAATCCCACAGCAACTCTACCATTATTAGCCCAATTTTCAATTGGGGAAGCTGTGGTACAAAAAGATGAAGTGACTTGGGCAATACGTGGCAGACCCAGGGTTGACACTAGTCTGTGTTCTTGATCACTACACTTATTGCCTCTGGAGAGCATGTTTAAGGAGAACAAATTAAAATTAGTATCAGCCTGAGCAAAAGTTAATTTTGAAAAACAAACCTCTAAACAAACAAAAAATTAGCCATTTGCGGGTCATCTCTTGCTTTTGGCTCAGTCCTATCTCTGGCTCCTTCAACCAGACAGACAGCTCTGCAGGCGGCGGGGCTGTCCGTACCCACCAGGCTGGTCCCCAGCTCAGCTCCCCAGGGCCACAGGCCCCTTAGGAGGTGGCTCCTGCCTCTAGGCAGCCCCCACCTGGAAGGCCCTCCCCTCGCCCCGCCTCACCTTGTCACTGAGGCCCTCGGCCTCCTCGGCCAGGAGGTTGCCACCGTCGGCCAGCAGCAGGGCCGTGTCGGTGGTGGACGAGGAGCGGGGGCGGCACTGATGCTGGTGCAGGATGGCGGCCAGGCTGCTGTCCTGGGGGGCCTTGCGCAGCAGGTGGGGGCTGCCGCGCTGGGGCTCCAGGGAGCTGCTCTTGGTGCGCCGGCTGCTGGGGAGCTGCTCTTGGTGCGCCGGCTGCTGCCCCCACCGCTGCCGCCCCCGCCGCTGCTGTGCAGGCTAGCACCCCGCTTGATGGAGGGCCGGGAGCGGATCTGCTGCAGCACGCGGTTGAAAGCGGTGGGCCTGGCGGGCAGGTCGTGCAGGGACATGGCGTAGGAGACGCGGTGCATCTCTGGGGAGCGCTCCTTCTCGTCCGGGGAGTCATGGTCAGACATGCCCTGCTGATGCTGCTGCTGGGAATCCTGAGACGTCTGGTGCTCCCTCTCCCGTGACCGGCGGCGGCTGTGGAACAGGTGCTTCAAGCCGTGGCCAAACATGGAGCCCTCTGAGAGCTGCTGGATTTTCTTAAGGGGGACAAAGATGAAGAACCTGGTGAGTGGAAAGCTCTCGAATGCCTGGTCGATTAGGGGCAGAGGCGAGGGTCCGTTCTTGGGATGCTAGTGCAGCTGCTGCAGCCATCTGAGTCTGGAAGATCCCCATGAATATCTCGTCATGCCTAAAAGTTCACCTTGCAGAAAGGTGGCAACCCGGACCCATTTTCCTCTCATTCACAAAGAGATGTACCCATATGGTTTCCCACTGTACATTCCCAATCAACACCTGGCCTCAGGGTTACTGGTCAGGACGTTCCTGTGGCTACAGTCTGGGGCTCAGGGGTACACACAGGCAGCACTTGGCTCATGAGGTTTATGCCTCTGGACTGACTCTCCCTCCACCCCCTAATCCCTCCCTTCTTCTGAGTTAGGTCCTTCTCAAGATGCTCTTTCGGACCACCAGGCAGGCATCCACTTCCAAAGATGTCTCATGGCAACACTCCCTGGGTCAGGGCCATGCAATCAGGTCGTAGCGGATATTGCTAATTATCTACCCAATATCTATTCTTTTTTTTTTAAAGAATATTTCATTCATTTATTTTATTTTGGTTGGGGGTAGGGGGTGGGGGCAGGTAATTAGGTTATATTTATTTTTAGAGGAGGTACTGAGGATTGAACCCAGGACCTCGTGTGTGCTAAGCCTGTGCTCTACCACTTGAGCTATACCCTCCCCACTCTATTCTTCTTTCTTACCAAATTGTATGGCCTTATTGCACCGTACTACAATTCTTGCTTCATCAGACTCCCTTGCAGCTAGGAGTGGCCATATGACAGTTTTGGCCAATGAAAAACAAGGTGAGTGTTTCTGGAAACACTTTTGCTTTCTTGACAAAGGCACTGGTCCTTCCTACTTCTTCCCATCTGGAATGTGGTGGTAATGCCTGGAGATGCAGCAGGCGCCTTGCAACGACAAGGTGACCGGCATGATGATGCAGACTTACACACAGCTGGGGGAGACCCCAGGGACAGGCCTGAGGACCGGATGGCCCTACAGAGTCACCAAACCAGCTGTGAATGCCTACCCTGGGGTTCTTGCTTCATGAAATAAACAAATGTAGCTTTGTCTATATTGTCGTCTATACAACAGTAATTTTCTCTCACTCCTGATATAGCAATAGAACACATTTTACTGAAGCTTCCAGGTTGGCGAATACTTTCACATGCCAGGAAGGTGGCACATCCCAGTTCCAGGGCAACAGAAACTCCTGCACTCAAGGCCTTCCGAACCTCACCTCATGGACCCCTTCATCTGTCTGTTCATCCTTTGTAACAAACTGGTAAATGTAAGGAAGTAAATAAACTACTCCTATGGGCATACCTTGTAGTGCAGGGAGTAATGTGACCACTTCTTTAGCATACATACATATCAGAACCAACATCTCTCTGCTCAGATTGGAACAAACCAAAGGCGCCCTGGAGCCCAGTGTGGCCCTGCCCCCGCCTTCCCCCTTTAGCTCTGCCGCTGAGATGCTTCAGCTGCTCCCCAGGCAGCACTGCTCAGAGGCAGCAGGACGGCCTGGCCAGGGCGAGGCAATGTGGGTACAATTCCAGACAGCTGCTTCTGTCAGGGGGCTGGCTCATCTGGTGGATCCAAGCCCCCGGCAGAGAGCTTCAGAGCCAGCAGTAGGAGAGCTGGGACTTGGAGGACCAGGTGAGAATCCACATCCTGTAACTCCTAAGGGGGAAACAGAACCCAGCCATGCGGGGCTCAGTGGGCCACAGCAGGTCTTCACCTGTGAGGA